TCCCAATTTACAGCCGTTCAGGTAGTAATCTGCCTTCTTGTTGTTGCAGTTCCCCCATGCGTTCCTTGAATGTTTGCCATTGCCTATCCACTCTCATCCCTTTAAGTAACTCTCCCCAATCTGTCAAGGCCAACTCACGCCTCATATCCTCGTAGTTTCCTTTATTAAGGTTCAGCACCCCAGTCTCTGAAGCAAATATCTCACTCTCCATCTTGATAAAAAATACTATCATGTTATGGTCGCTCTTCCCCAAGGGGTCTCGCACAGCTAGATCGGCAATGGTTTCCTTGTCATTACATAGCACCCAGTCTCAGACAGCCTGCTCTCCAGTTGGTTCTTCCACATATTGGTCAGGAAAACCATCCCGTATACATTCCAGGAATTCCTCCTCTATGGCATTATGGCCAAATTGATTTGCCCACTCTGTGTGCAGATTAACATCACTCATGATCACTGATCCTCCCTTATCACACGCATCTCTAATTTCCTGCTTCATGCCATTCCCAACATCACCACTGCAGTTTGGGGGTCTATATATGACTCATGTTTGTTGCCCCTTGGAAATTTCTCAACTCGACCCATGCAGACTCCACATTGTCAGAACTAATATCCTTTCTCACTATTGTGTTAATTTTCACTTTAACCGGCAATGCCGTTCCACCACCTTTTCCTTTTTACCTGCCCTTCCTAAAGTCCGAATACCCTGGGACATTCAGATAGGCTGGGATATTTTTGTCCCTCGAGCGTAGGAAGGTGAAGGGTCACCTTACAGAAGTTTATATCATCATGAGGGGTATAGATAAGGTGCATGGCAGGGTGTTTTCCTGAGGGTGGGGGAGTTCAAGACTAGGGGGCACGTTCTTAAGGTGAGAGGAGAGAGATTTAAAAAAGGCAATTTTCTTTTTACACAGAGGGTGGTTTGTGTGTGGAATGAACTTCCAGAGGAAGTGGTGGATTTGGGTACAGTTACAACGTTGAAAAGTCATTTGGATAAGTACATGAACAGGAAAGATTTGGAGGGGTATGGGCCAGGAGCAAGCAGATGGGACTACTTTAGTTTTGGATTATAGTCGGCATGGACTGGTTGGGCCGAAGGGTCTGTTTCCATGCTGTGTGCCATTGAGCCCTCCACTATTCAATAAGATCAAGGCTGAACCGATGTTTCAACCACTTTCCCCCTCATTTCTGTTCTTTATCTAGAAATCTCGACACCTCCCTACCTTCGTGCACTTGTTCCAATGACTGCCCTCTGCAGGAGAGAATCCCAAAGGATTCCCCACATTCCAGGTGAAGATTTTCCTCTCAGCGACAAATGGCTTTATTCTGATGGCTCCGTCCCCCAGTTTTACAACCACCAAAGCCAGGGTTCAGTACCATCCAACCTGACACACATGGCCAGAACTTTGTCGGTTCCAATTCTCAGAGCGCGGGCCCAGTCTCTCCTTAAAAGACGTTCACTGTAAACTCTCGTGGGAGAGCCTAGGATCGGAAGAAAGGCTGTCTACTTCTGACACAGGTGAGGAGGAATTTCCTCTCTCCGGGCCAGGGGATTGGGGTGGGGGGCTGGGATGGTGCCAGGAAAGGGGGTGGGGAAGCAAACCTGTGGAATTCTTCACCGTGCAGTCCTGGGGACGTTAAATGGATTCATGGCCGAGATCAAGAGATATGTCGTCAGGAAGGGAGTCAAGGGGGAAAAGGCGGGGTATGTGGAGTTGAAGCTGATCAGATCAGTCCAGCCAGTGAATGGGCCGAATGGCCTCTGTCTGCTCTTACCCAGGAAGGTGTACACCCGGGGAATGAGTCCTGTTGGAACCTGTGCGGTTCCCATGAGGAGACCAGAATGGCATATAGCCCTCCGAGGTGGGGTCAGGTCCCATTGAGGCTTGGGGAATGTCACTGTGATGGCCCCCCCACCCGCTGGCTGCCACCTGTGGGTGCCTCCCGCGCTGTCTGTGATAGGGAGTCCAATGAGGCCATTCCCCCCCTTGCACTGACCTTGACGGTGATGGGCAGACGGTTCTCCTTGAACGAACGGAAAGTGAAGCAGCGTTGCTGGCCCGCCTTCCTGACGGGCACGATGTTGCCGGAACATTCCACGTACAGCGGCATTCCCTCCAGGACCTGAGGCGGGTGGAGAGGGCAGGGAGAACAGAGAGTGGTTAGACGGCCACTTCGGCGAGAAGATTTGCGGACAGATTGGGAGGTGAGAGGACATGGGCTGGATGGCATCTGGCCACGCACCTCCCCGCTTCCCCTTGGCAAGGAGCTGCTTTTCTTCGCTGCCCAAGCGGGTGTCAGAAAGATCCTAAGCGCAGCGAGGCGGTCTCTCCTTCAGGGAGCAGGTCCCAATGCTGGGTCCATTCAGGCAGCACGCCCCATAGCGCACACACCATTTGGATCTGATTGATTAACGTCGCATGTCCCTCAGTACAGTGAGAAGTTTTGTTTTGCGTGCAGTACAGGCAGGTCATACCGTACATGTTAGGGTGACTGAATACAGTGTTACAGCTGCAGAGAAGGTGCACAGGGAACAAGATCAACATTAGATTTGAAATCTGGGAGGTCCATTCAGCAGTCTAATAACAGCAGGGAAGAAGATGCTCTCTGAACCTGTTGGTATGTGTTTTTAAGCTTTTGTATCTTCAGCCTGATGGAAGAGGTTGGAGGTAGTAGCCCAGTGTCATTATCGGCGGATTGTTAACCCAGAGACCCAGATAATGCTCTGGGGACCCGGGTTCGAATCCCGCCACAGCAGACGGTAGAATTTGATTCGATAAATATCTGGAATTAAGAATCTAATGATGACTGTGAATCCATGTCGATTATTGGTAAAACCCATCTGGTTCACTCATGTCCTTGAGGGAAGGAAACTGCCATCCTTACCTGGTCTGGGCCTATATGTGACTCCAGACCCACAGCAATGTGGTCGACTCTTAACTGCCCTCTGGGCAATTAGGGATGGGGCAAGAAATGCTGCCTGGTCAGTGATTATCCCATGAATGAATGAAAACAAATTGGCAGAATTTTCCTCATTGGACCAACCAGGTTTCACACGTCAATGAACCACTGAAGCGAGGGACAGCAGCGTGGCCGTACCTCGATATCGCGGCTTCTAGCCACCTCGGTGAAGTTCTCATGCTGCTCCAGGGTCTTATCCACCTTGTCGTCACTCATGCAGTAGCATCGCAGACGGCCATCTCTCCCATCATGCATCTTGGCAAACACCACAAACTTGGCCATGTAGGGCACAGCCATGAGCTCGTTGTAGAGTTGGGTGGCAAAGTTCACCGCTTCCGCTGTTCGGGGGCAGTCTGCCAACCAAAACCTGGGTGGGCGGAGGGGAGGGGAGAGAGAAAGGCCAGAGGGTGAAGTGTACCAGGAGGAGAGGGCAGGGGTGGGCAGGGGAGAAGGACAAAGAAGGAGCAACTTCAACACCCTTCTGAAGTGTTGAGGTTGTACAGGACGTTGGTGAGGCCTCTTCTGGAATACTGTGTCCAGTTCTGGTCGCCTCGTTACAGGAAGGGTATTATTGAGCCGGAGAGGGTATTTACCAGGATGTTGCTGGGAATGGAGGCTCGCAGCTACAAGGAGAGGCTGGGACATTTTTCACTGGAGCGTAGTAGGCTGAGGGGTGACCTTATGGAGGTTTATAAAATCATGAGGGGCATAGAT